CGAACGCTCAAGCCGACCGCGCTATTCGCAGTGGCCACATTTTGAACGCTTCTAGGCGATTTATCATGTTGGTCCTTAGTGTCCAGGAATCAAATCCGTACATATGAACTGGTCAAACATAGCATTTAATCGTTTTCGAAGAGCGTGTTATCTCAATTTCTCGCTTAATCTCCATGTCTAGATTTTCTGTTATAAGGGGGGTCAGTTATTTGAATTTCCTAGCTATCGCCAGTTGTTCTCCCATTTTCCTGCTGTCGTCTTACACTCTATTCAATACTTCTTGGAGGACTCTATATTTTCCGTCATTAAAATCATGTGATCTGGATAACACAAGTTGTTTATACGTGGTCCAATGATCTTCATACCTATATCGGTCTCTATTAGTTTCTTGGTTTCTTGAAAATGATATCCGAGTAGAAATTGAACAGTAGAGGTGCCAATCTGCAACCCTGACATATACCTCGACGTATCTATCTCTACTGCGTTGGACAATTTATTTTGTACTCGTATATTCACAGCCCGGTTCCAGCGCAGGCTCTTTATAATTCGAAGATCTCCTGATTGATTCCTGCTCTCTACAGTAACTGTACAGTAATGAGTTTCATATGCCCGACTCCACAAAGCAGGCAAATACATCTTCGCTTTGCTCTCTGTATTTCTCCAATAGTACAATAACAACAAACAGAGCTTCCCTAGTTCCGAAGTCATGTGTTACTCCAAGAAAGGTCTTCAGGACATGACTCATCATGCTAATGAATCTGTACTCCGCAGACCTTCTTAAGTGTGCCTTTTTTGGTATTGGATGAAGGTGGACTTCAACCAATCATCGGGAAGGCTTGCACTCGTGTTCATTTTGATAAAAAGTTGTACTGTATTTGAGTTCCTTTAATTCCATCTTGACTCCATTTCGCTTGACAGTTTTATTACCCTTTCCAAGACGCAAATTCTTCTGGTCTTTCATCTGTAAATAGCATTGTCACATAGTTCTCCCAGACAGATTTTGTAATAAATTAGAAATTAAGAAAACACGTTACTAAAAAATAGTTAATCATTTGTGTAACAAAGAAAAACGTGCTTTAGTTTGAATTAGGTGTTTAGTTTTTATTAGGTTATTACCACTTTCAGATATTCTAAATTATACACAGGGTCTAGTTTTGGTTAGTTTGATTTGAGGTAAACTTAATCAACACGAAAATTTGGGGGGCGTTGTGATAAGAATGAATTATTTTGTATAAAAAGATTATATCTGAGTTTTCTTCTATTAGAAAGAGTTAAAATATTAAAGTGATTTTAAGCCAATTTAATGTTATGTGTCAGTTACCACAAATAAAATAAACTAAAAAAATAATTTAAATATGCACTATCCATAAAAACATCGTACTGGATTCCAAATTATGCTACCAAAATATATTTTTCTGAAACCAAATCCGTTGTAGAGGCATGGTATTATCTGAATGGACCATTTTCGGAAAGCATAAGCTAAGAGCCTGGAAGCTGGAAGGGATGATACCAGGTCTACGCGAATATCAAAAATTAATCTTATTTGGTCGACCTTTATAGAGAAGTATTATTTATTTTGTAATCAAACTTTATTATTTGTTTATTGTTAGTCAATGATATTGCTTGATATTTGTTGACGTTTACAAAAATATTATTTTCGTCACAGAAGGGCTTCAGGCGATCAAGATCACTTTGAATTTCCTGAGCGTCTACTTGCCTCAGAACCATTTTGTGGTGTTTAAAAACGTATGGAAACCTGGCAAAACCGCAATATCGAAAACAACTTTTAATAATAAATAAAATTTGTGCGACGAAAATAAGTCCTATTTAGAAGTTTAGGAAGTTACGCCTGTCGACTACCTATGGAAAAATTTTGAAATGCCTACGTTTTAAATGCGAAAGTGTTTATCCCGGACCGAGGAGCTCCGTACCGTATTCTAATTACAAAGTTTAGAGCTTCAAACGTTTGGAAGCAAATGTAGCGCTGTGTCTTTTTTTTTCGTTTCCCATTCGACTGTAGTTTCTCATCTATGTAAGCTGCGCTTGTTACATTTTCGTGTAACATCATAACTATTTTTATTAATCAACCTTCGGAGGTGCTAAAGATATTGAAAATTTCAGTTTTCGCGACAGTTGGTAGGAAACCAGCGATATCTTAAACTAAACGTGTTGTCGCGAAACTCATTGAATTGCCGCAAACAAAATTAAATTCTAATTTGCACAACGGCGGTAGCGGCGGCGGATTCTGAATTTGCATTTGCTGTGAGTTACATCCAATGAAAGTCATTCAACACAAATTATTTGTGTCAGTTCTAATGAAAACCCCTTTCAAACGGCAGTTATCGCCGTTAATGAAAACGCCGAATGGATCCCAACATGGAACAGATTTTAATTACATCCAAACGGCAAACGAAAAGATTTTAAACCGATAACCTTTAATATCGAGTGACTGTAAAGTGAAGGAAAATGGTGGAAAAAGGTGTCAGAAAAAAAATCCAGTACTATAAACATTTTTTAGTGTACAATGGCTTTACTAATAGCAATAAATACTGTAAAGGTTGTATCCGCAACTACGACCCACCACATAGAATTAAGAATATAAAAACTGTATACTATAACATAAAAAAAAAATAAATTTATCACAAATAGTTTTCACAATGATGAAGTTGAAACGTTAATATTTTCAATTAATGGAAAAAAAAGCGTTGAACCTAATGTAGGTGTAATAAGCAGTGACTTAAATTTGGAACTTAAAAAACATGTGGCTGAAGTTAGATTTGGATTCGGATTTGCAAATATTACAGTGCACCAGTTCGTAACCTATCATAATTAAAAATATATATTCTGTGGACATTCTGAAACTATTTCACTCAAGCCCTAAAGAAGCCAACAGGATAATTGGCGAAACGTCAGCAATTTCGACTAAGCAAAAACGAACGCAGGAGGAATCTAGAAGTTTTGTAAAAAGCAATACTCCCGTGCTTACGTACTCAGCATGTCCAAAGGAATATGTTATTTTAATTATGATAAATGACGAACTGGTCCACTGCAATATTAGCAAAGCCGAATCCAAATCCAAATTTAACTTCAGCCACACTTAAAACACAAACTGCAAGAATTTTTGTCAATTCAACAACGTTGCAGTCGGTGGCAGGTGTGGGGCTTGATGTTACATTTACATCGACAAAGTGCAACGGAAAATCGAATAAAATGTTATGCAAAGGTGCCAATCTTAGATCACTGGGTGTTAATGAAGTACAACAGCGTGATGTCTAAGAGTGTGATAATGTCACAATATCCGAAACGTCTTTGAAGCCACAATAAACTTTGTTAGCCCAGCAAATACAACTAACTGTATACTATGACATAAAAACGAACAAATATATCAGAAATAGATTTCATAATGGTGAGTTTGAGAGTTTAATATTTCCTATCATTCAACTAAGTAGTGACTTAAATATTACCACAACAATTATACCACAACAATTTTTGTTATTTCACATATGTTGCAGTTGGTGGCAGGTGTGGGGTTCGATGTCGAATTATGTTTACATTCGCAAAGTGGAATAGCAAATCGAAATAGAAATTGAGAAAAGGCGCTAATTTAAAATCACCGGGTTCTTCATGTTGGAAGTAATAACGCAATTTACTACATGAACTTTGTTAGGAAAAGCTACGTTGTTAACTTTGCTTTTATGCTGCGACGCTACAAATATCGTACAATCGTTATCACCGTAATGACAATACTACCAACGGCTAATAAAATTCTAAATAAGTTTGAATCTTATATGATCAGTATCTTTCATAACCTGGAATTCAAAACAATGCTATGAAGTGACTGGCGGTGTAGTTCCTGTTAAATGCACTCAGGGATGCTGAAACGTGGCATCATTGATTCCTTTTGTCAAGCTCAGCCTATTTGGTTCTGTTTTCAACTTTTAACTCCTCAACGATTTAAAATTGGTATGTATTGGTGTAACATTCTTAAATCAAGAAGTACATTAGGGTGCGTTTGAAAATCGCGCATAACTTATGCATATGGCAAATTCTGCATAATAGTTTGAATCCAGAATTAAAACACCTTACCTCTGCTCTTCTCTCTAATAATTTTCACATTAAAGATATTAAGCGTTCCATCACAAAATACACTTCACCACAACCTTCCAATACCAATCAGGTCGAAAGCAATCCTACACTTGCCACTGTTGTCCTTCCTTACATTCAAAACATTACTAACCACAATTCAAAAGTACTAAAATATAACGTCAAAACCAGATTTACCACTTGTCCAAAAATCTTTCAACTTCTTTGATCCGTCAAAGACAAAATTCCATTTGAAATTACAGGAGTTTACGGCATTCCATGCATATGTTGGAAACAGGACATTGGAGAGAACTAGGCTCAAAGAACAGGAAAGAGCCTTAATTTTATTCGATAAAACTAAAATTCTTCTACCAACGAAAAATCCGAGAGTCTATAGAAATCTGTCACCAATATGGGAATCAGTCATCCGAAACGATGTTTATGCCTCTCATTTAGTTCGGCCCTCCTCAAAAATGTATAAGCCGGTACAGAGTAAACTGCGAGCCAGTTTCAGTCAAGCTCTGAAGAAGTCAACAGGATGATAGGCGAAACGTTAACAAGTGCGACTCAGCAAAAACTGACGCAGGAGGAATCTATAAGTTTTGTAAAAAGTATTACAGTAGCCTATGCATGTTTCTTTGAAAAAGTTGTTCACGATTTAACTTGTTTTTTTCATTTTTACGAAAAATTTTCCATTCAAGAGAACAAATTCGTATACTAAATCATATATTATATTATATTATCAATACAATTTTTTTTTTTTTTAAATAACAAAAAGTTAAATGTGGAAATTATAGATTTTTCATAGAAACAATATAATAGATTTTATGACTCATTTCTTAACCGACTGACCACTAATTCTTAATTAACGCACTCAACTAAGAGACTGTAGATACTAATTATGGTCTATTTTACAGGCCAGGCAGAAACCAAAACACACACCCGCCATCCGCACAGTGGCAGTGCTCATCGACGCTCCACCAGAGCTGACACCAGGACGAATCTGAGCTACGAAAAAACGTCATCTAGCGGCGAGGAATACACGCAAACTTTCGCCAAACAAAACACAAAAATCGTGTTGGACTGCGCGGTCAATATCAACTTTAGGTAAGCCCTTGTCCGGTCCACATGGTGGCCTGTATTGACACTTTTCTGGAAAAATACGTTTACAAAAACTATCAGATTTGGACACCAGAGCGTTAAAATTGGTGAGCTATCGTAGTGGTGATACGGATTCTAACACTGATCCTAAATGCGGCTGCCACGTTGTAGGTTTGACAGATTTGTTTGCTGATTGTAGTAGAAGCTCGTGAAGTATAAGTTTTAGAAGTGGGGAAGCAAGAAAATAATGTTTCCTTATCTTTACAATAGATAAATTCTTTTTAAAATAAAAATATAAATAAAACCGCCTTTATTGTAAGCTCGGCGAAGGTCAGCTGAGCTAAGATAGTATACCAATTTTACATTACAAATACATATGCGTAGAAAGATATGACTCAAGCATAAAAAAATGAAAACGATAAAAAAATAAACAAAGGGAAATGTTTCTTTAAATGAAATTTAAAAGCGCCAAGAGAGACGTTCTGAGGATACTTATTAAGTAGTCTAAGAGACGAGCAGGTATTTTATAATCACAATTAAAATGAGTTCCACGGAAATAAGTGCAATTCCTCGAAGTCATTTTCTTGAATAAATTTGAGGGACATCTAGTTTTAAGTAGTTTGTGAAGAAAACAAGCAAAACGTAATTCTTCTCGACTCGACATATTTAATTAATTTAAACCTAAAGTGATGTCTTCGTTTAAAGTTATAAATAAATCAAATACGATAATTCAGTACTGTTTTTAATTTATAATTTCCCAAAAAATCCATTGATAAAGTTACGGTAATTTAGATGATTAAAAACCAGTGCTTCACAGAGAATTTTTTTAAACTTAAAGTTCAGAATATCTTTACATTTATATATGCTGCGGAGATTAATATAAGCCTTTTGGAGAATCTTAGAAACCTACTTACGAAATCCAAGGTCATTATCAAGTTTCAAAAGTGGTAAGAAAATGGTAAATGCAAAAGTAGTAAAGATTGTTAGGATGCACGATTTAAAATTATTTTAAAGTATGGCTCAAAAAGTCGTTACGAATAAAACATATATCTTTTAAAATTTTGTTTTGAATTCCCTTTGAAATTCTTCAATTGTTTTGTTAATAATAATGCAAACATAATCCTAATAGTTTTTCCGATAGTTTTCTAAAAAAAATACTAGTTTTCACACTTGCAAGAAAAAATACGATAGCGCCATTTTTGAAGGTAGGGCACTCATATTTGATATTAGTGTTATTCGAAGATGGCATAAAATCTACATGCAAGGGAATTTCAAAATATTTGGAAAATTTTAAATTGAAAAATCTGTATTTTCTTAAATAGCTCTCAATATATATATATATATATATATATATATATATATATATATATATATATATATATATATATATATATATATATATATATATGATGACACTATACTCCGGGATATCATCCGTTCGCTCGTTGAACTCCGACTGGAATCCTGCAAATCCTGCATCCGACTGGAATCCTGCAGACGTTTCGCCAAAATCTCACTTGGCATCTTCAATGCTCGCGCTCCGAAAACACTTCGAACACGGAGCGCGAGCATTGAAGATGCCAAGTGAGATTTTGGCGAAACGTCTGCAGGATTCCAGTCGGATGCAGGATTCCAGTCGGAGTTCAACGAGCGAACGGATGATATCCCGGAGTATAGTGTCATCACATTTTTCCATCCGTGAATCAATACGTGAGAATATATATATATATATATATATATATATATATTTAAACACTTCGAACACTGGGAACTGTTTTCGGAGCGCGAGCATTGAAGATACCAAGCGAGATTTTGGCAAAACGTCTGCAGGATTCCAGTCGGATGCAAGATATATATATATATATATATATATATATATATATATATATATATATATATATATATATATATATATATATATATATATATATATATATATATATATATATTTTTTTTTTTTTTTTTTTTTCGGAAGATCTTATAAAAACCTACAACTTTTATTAGGTGAGTCATATACCTATTTTTAATTTATAATAAACATATAAGATTTATTTGAACTTTTGCAGTATTCACCTTTCTGTCTAAGGCTATTGCTATAACATTAGTTTGTCACTTAACGGCATATTTAATCTTCTGCAGAATGATTTAATTCCCCAACTGTTTTAAATGTACATACACATCTAAACTTAATAATTTTTCCAGTATTATAATTTTTCTAAAAAAATGCTAGTTTTCACACTTGCAAAAACATTACGATAGCGCTATTATTTTTAAGGATGGATCACTCATATGCCATATTAGCGTTATTGGAAGATGCCGTCAAAAATATATGCAACGGAATTTGAATTAGATGCTACAGGGAGTTTGAAATAAACGAATATGTTTAGATCATTTTAAATAGTCTAAATTTGGTCCAAGAATTTAAATATTGGAAAAATTATTATGTTTAGGTATGTATTATTATCAATAAAATAGTTGAAGAATTTGAAGAGGAATTGAAAACAAAATTATTTAAAAAAATATGTTTTATTCGTAACGATTTTTTGAGCCACCGCGTATACTTTAAAATAGTTTTAAATTGTAGATCCTATATAATCTTTTCAACTTTTGTATTTACCATTTCCTCATAACTTTTGAAATTAATGAAATAATGAACTTAACTATATCGTTGATTCACCCTGTACTGCTTTTCCAAGATCTCGCAAATTTCAGCTCCCTGGTGTCAACACACGTTACCACCTGTAAATATGCGCCCGGTCCGTTTACATAAACGTCGAATCAAATATTAAAGGGAACCCGCTCGAAAATTTTAACTGAATAAATCATTTCGAATGGGCAAAACCGCCACCCTTAAAAGAGCTAAAAATTTCCACTTCCGGACCACCTAATTCGATATTCGTTCGGCGCCTGTTTATTTTATTCGACTTCAAAAGCCGAAAGTACCCACTTGAATCAGTCTAAAACGCGAATTCGGACGAAAGTTTTTGAAAATTTAAACGTATTAAAATTGTTTCCACAAACGTGCCGCTTCTGTTCCCTCCGAACGGAATTTAGCTACGTGTACCGACTAAAGTTAAGCCCATTTTCATAGTGCAAAGTTTAACGCTAATATAAAACCAAGTTCGAAGGTGTACACGTTTAACTTGCTAAATCAGTTCTTTTATTATCGGATTCTGGGTGATTTTTTCCAATTTTGTTATATTGTTTCAGTACTAGTATATGGTTGAAGGACGGACAAATAGTTGTCACGGTATTGAAAGACAATACGAACAATAAAAGAGTGATCGGTCATCGGTTTTTAGTGGAAGCTAGCGGGAATCTGTTAATTGACAACGTGCGGTTAGAGGACGACGGTAAATGGCAGTGCGAAGCCGAAGATGCTTTCGGATTTGTCGTGCAAGGGAAGCCGATACAACTCACAGTTCTTGGTAAGTCGCATTCTTCCGACTGCAAATGATTAATTTAATAGGAGTCCGTTAGGATAGCTCATTTAGGTTAAGAGATCAGGCAACAAACTTTAAGTTTTAGAAAGGGTATTTCAAATTCGATTGTCACTCACAGAGAAACAGGATAGCGCAAATTAGGTCACAGATGTTTATCGACAACCGTTCGAAAATTGAAGTTATCTTGGCTCCTTCTTAAACATTTTGAAAAAAATTCACAAATACACTCACAATGGAACTTTTTCAACTTTTTTTTTTGTTTATTATAGTTTTGATTAGTGATTGTGCCAGAAATTCAAATTCAAAATTTAAATTTTTTCAATTGATATACGGGGACTTTCATAATAGGATGCTCATCCTTAAGGGTATGATTCCTTGAATGAGTTTAAAAGAAAAATTTCATACCATCATCATTGATCGCGTCGTTTTTGAAATTTTGTTGATATTTGTTGAAAATATTAGAAAAACTGTTTTCTTCTTATTCACTGAAACTTATTTGGATATATGTTGATTTCTTGGTATGTACGCGAAATCAAAATCGCCGGGTAGTTCGGTAGGAATACAATGTTAGCCGCCTGGATCTGCAGTGGTAAGCAGTTTGGATTTTTTTTCTGCGGTGGCATCTTAAGACGTTGGTTTACAATTTTTCAAAGGCTCATTTTTAAGGGCTGAAGCAGGTGGTAGTCACTTTTAACAGCTAGGTTAGATATGATTTTTGTTTTTGTTCACATTGGTTAATTCTAGTTTTTCATATTCAATACTACGAACTTTTAACTTAATTCTACTCATCACTTGGTCGGACAACACTGAGTCAAGAGGTCATTTTTATTAAGAAATAAATAGTGATTTTCAGAATATAATTTTGAAAAAAGCGGTAGAGTCTTTTTTTATGAAAAATTGATTAAACCGTTTCCCAATTTTAACAAAATCTCCAAAGGAATTTCAAAGAAAATATATACGTACTTTAGGAATCGCGCCATTAAGGATCAGCAATCTTAGTGTATAACACCCTATATATAGAGAGACCTTGCCTTGGCTAAGTTCTCCAAGTCCCAATTTTCGAATTTACAATCAGTAATATGGTCAGATGGTCAAAAAATAAATCTATATAAGCTGCTACTAGCGCTGAGACAGTGACTCACCTGTTGCTGGACTCCTCATTTGCCCAGTAAAAGCTTTCTGATCTACGACGTTTGGACGCGGAGAAGTTTAGACGTGACATATCTAAAACGTTTATATGTAAAGAATATTATTCATTGTTGCAATAGTGTGAGGAGATAATATATTGTTAGGGATATATTGAAGCAGCAATATGCTTTATCGAAAATTAAAACCGACCTTCTTGCTCGCCACGGGCCAATACCGACAACCCTATCTTCTGAAATTTTCACAAGTTTTAGGTTTTCGTCGTTTTGGTTACGTTGAAATCGTTTCAAATTGATTGGTGATAATTTCCTGCAATTCGTTAAAATGCTACATTTCTGGAGCAATTCGAGAGCAACTCGATAAATTTCAGTTCAGCTAAGAATTCCAGTGGAATTCTGTCGAATTTCAGAGGTATTTCAAGAAACTCCAAAGAAATTCGCTCGGATGAAGTCAAGTGACTCACTTCTTCATATACTGGGCGAAATAGAGTTTTCCTCCGCTATAAAAATATCGTTCCCTCTATTGATATGCTTACCTTGAACAACAACTTATGGAATTGTATGTATTGCATGACCAGGTGCTTTGACCAACGTATTGTTGACTAGATTTGCGTTTCGTATTAGTGCGTTATGGGATTTCGCTGTGGAAAAAATGCTATTTCTGTTTAGAACGTTTCGCCTCTATATTGTAAGCTTAGCATGCAATTATTAAAAAAAATAATTATTATGGTATAGGGAATCTAGATTAATTTGTTAAACTTAAAATAATTTGATATTGAAGAAGGCTGTAGGATTCTGTGGGTCTAAGAGACTGTATTTTCGATCATGTCTGATAGGTGATTGATTCCTCAACAGGGGTCATACTTCTACAAATTGTGCGAGAAATCAGTTAAAGGAAAAATGTTAACTGCAGAATGAATTTTTAGGGCACATCTGATGAAGCCCAATACTTAGAGACCTCCTCGTAAGTTAAGAAAAAATTCTCGGCAGAAGTGTCACACCTAACCTATATGATTGGTCATATTACTTAAGTGAACGTAATTACTTATCTTTATATAGCTGAGCTATAACAGTAGAGCTGTAATTACTACCTCTCTGCTGAACAACTTTTAAAATGCGTTACGCTAAGACAATTTGCTTTGTAAGTATAACCTCCAGTGTCAAAAATCGATGTTCATTATTCTGCCGAAAACATTAAGATTCCTTTTTTTAAATAGTCCCAACCTTAATTACAGTCGAGAATATCAGGTGGCAGAAAATTAGCATCATAATCGCAAGGCAGAAAAGTAATTAAAAAGTTATTAAACTTTTTTAATTCGGGGGCGGACTAAAGAGTTTTTCGATGTCGAATCTTTGAAAAAAAAAAAACCTTAAAGCGCGTCACATTAATCTCAGATTAGAGGTTGACAAGGTTTTAATATCGCTGCAGGACTGACGAAAATTTCAAAAGTGAAAATAACGGTAAACAAATTTGCTTATCAGCGAAAGATGTACTTATTTCACAATGCAATACGAGAAATAAGTCATTTTTGAAATTAAAATTCCGACTCGATGCGTATTCGACTTTATTTTATTTTCATAAAGAGGAAAACAACTTCAGCCACTAGTACCAGTTATAGCGAAAAAAGAACGGAAATGTGGTTATCAGTTCAATTGGCTAAACTCGCTCTCATTGGTCATGACGTTGAAATATACAATAAGTAAGATTAAAATTTAATTGTTAAGTGTTATACTAATACACCCTTAAAATCACAGCCAAATTAGACTCTTTATTCTGGTCAAATACTGTACATAAACACACCTAGCTAGGAATACATAAAAGTGTGGTGCAAACGGGGCAGAAAAAGACTGGAAGCGACAGAGATGAATTTACTTGAAAGAAATTTTGAAATACACCAACAATGATATCGGAATAAATGGACAGACGCAGACTCATATGTTACTGACATCTACGAATAGCCCATAACCGTTGGCCAAAAAATATTTCGAATTGGCAACCAACATCTGGAACAAAATGAAGAAGACATCCAGATGAATCGATATTTTAATATTTCTTTTGCATTTTTATAAAATCTGAATTGCTAATGGCTGTGACGATGCCCAAATCAAATAATAATAATATTTATTTTGCAACAAAATAATATTCAAAGTATCACAAAACTTAGACTTATTGTTGCAAAAAAGAGTTGGCAATAATTACAAAATGTTCAAGTTCGACCCCTAGACACTGAAAGTAATATTTCAAGAGTGACTTGCATATTATGTCCGATCCATGGCAAACAATATAAAAAAAATACTATAGTTGGAAATAAAAATTTTATAAAAGGAAAAACAAAAAAAAACAATAAAAAATTCTAGCAGTAATAAAAGAAAAAATAACAAATTCCTCTCTGGGCTTAGTCGCCTGCTACACAATCGTTCTCGAGAAGGTACTTTGAATAGAGATGTTTAAATAAGTTTAAGCTTAAGCATTTTAATTCTTTCGGAACTTCCTTGTACAGCTTATAGACGCTCTAAGACAAAGATCATTGGAACAGAGTTAGGTGATGCTGTGAAAGCTAATTTAATGTCTGTTTAGATATAACATTTTTAGATTGCCATATGCAGTGGGTATCATCTTATTAAGATGAGGTTTAAAACGAAGGTTAATATCGAAATCAAGTCCCAAATTTCTACCAGTTTTGAGCATTTTATTTCTTTACCTTGATTCTTTATAATATAATATTATATATTATATATAATATAATAATAAATATAATTATGAAAGACTTGTTTGCATTCATGCAAAACTGCATGAATCTTTCTAAATCTTCATTTATTAAAATTTGTGCTTTATTGTGAGTTGAAGGAAAAAATGATACGGTATCATTAAACTCCATATATTGATGTCTTGAGATAATTACGCAATAGAAAAGCAGTATATATATATATATATATATATATATATATATATATATATATATATATATATATATATATATATAGTAGAATTAAATATAAAATTGCAAGTAACAACTCGTGGTTTAGTCTCTCGCAGGCTTTAGAACAATCAAGAAGTATTAGGGCCGTATCCGACTGATTTGAAGGTGGTATTTTTACAGAAGCTTTCTAATCTGATAATTCAATTTTTTCAATGACTTTTGATAATGCTGGTAGTATACTATTCGGTCTCAAGTCACTGAAATTTGAGATTTCGGACTTTTCAGAAGTGGAATTACTTTCGATATCTTCCATTCCTTCGGAAAATTAATAGATAGGAATCGACAATATTAATCCGAAAGGAAGACAGCTCAAAAGAACCATATTAATATTAAATTCATTCTCTTTCTATGCAAGAGTCTTTCTTTCTTACAAAAACTTTCTAACATTTTCTTCACGAACTGTGTAAAATTAAAATGGAACTTCAAAATGCGTTTCACAGTTATTACGATAATAACCCAAGAGCTCTTTATTCAAGGAAGAATTTCGAGCTGACGAGGGGTATTAAGGTGGATCAAAAATTCAGTTATAAGTTATCAGATTTTTCGTAGCAAATGGCTATCTTTGTTTGGTTTTTCATTTGTTTGTACGAGTTGCAGTCTGCGTCAGTCTTGGTTCTTATAAACATATTGAAGGCCTTATTTTCTAATGAAATAATTTTTTCTACCGGAAAAGTTAAGAAAAGGAGGTTTTTGGTTTTCGATTTTTACTTTCTTCAAAGGTGACATACAATACATAAAAACATATTTACCAAAATGTCATTTAGGATTTAAACTTTTTGGTTAGCATTCCTAGCTGCAATTATATGCCCGAAAGTTGCTATCGATAATAAATTATGAAACAAGTCAAGGTTTTTTAAAA